TTTTTTTTTTTTACCTTAAACCGCATAAACACATTGCATTACACCAAATACACAAAATAATGTTCTTTTTAGCAGCATCATATGACCCCTTTAAAGAAATAGTTCATCCAAAAATGAAAATTTGTTGAAACTTTACTCACCCTCAGGCCGTCCAAGATGTAGATGAGTTTTTCTCCATCAGAACAGATTTGGAGAAATGTAGCATTACATCACTTGCTCACCAACGGATTCTCTGCAGTGAATGGGTGCCGCCAGAATGAGAGTCCAAACAGCTGGAAAAAAACCATCACAATAATCCACAAGTAATCCACACCACTCCAGTCCATCAGTTATTGTCTTGTGAAATGAAAAAGTTTTTTATTGTGATGTTTTTATCAGCTGTTTATTCTGATGGCACCCATTCACCGCAGAGGATCCATTGCTGAGCAAGTGATGTAATGCTACATTTGCTCCAAATCTGTTCCCATTAAGAAACAAACTCATCTAAATCTTGGATGGCCTGCGGGTGAGTAAATTTTCATCTGATTTTTATTTTTGGGTGAACTATTCCTTTAATGCCCTTTTTTGAACTTTTGGGAATAAGGTCAAAACAATGATAATGCAGGTTAAGTTACTTTCTGTTAGAAGTGCTGCAAATAATGCAGTGGTCAAATGTCTTTTAAATAGGAGTATTGCCAAACACTACGTCTGGATTCTGGAATAGATTATCGGAGAAGAAATCGCCCTGCAGCTGGAAAACTCTTCTACCTGTGAGAAAATCCATGTTGTACAAAATGAGATGCTGCATTAGTTTAGTGATCAACTTTTAAGCAGTTATGCAAGTTGACTACATTCTTTAATCAAAGACATGCATTTTAAAAATGTTGAGTTGTGAAATTTCCATTACAAAAAAGAGCTGCAAAAATAATGACAGTATTCAAACAATCCAAACTCGCACTGTTGCTTGGGCAAGTCCGAAAGCGCCATGTTTTGAATATCATTTGAATCGCTCCTGTTGTCTTAAGATGGGGTATTAAAAAGTATTTTAACATCCAAAACATCACATGCTTAGCTTGACAAGTGAATGTTATTGCTTTGACCAAGTATAAATAAATAAAAAGATTGTATTATGAAGTGATTAATTATTAATAATTTTTTTTATTTAGTTTCAGTGAACCTGATGTTGATGCAACACTCGATAAGCTGTTCGATGAGATGGCCTTCAAACAGAATGACAGTAAGTTGGCTGTAGTGTGTTTGCTAAATTACAAAACACTCTCGTTTAATTAGCTGATGGTTTATCAGTAAAAACACCCTAACAAAAGAATTTCTATGGCAGCCCATTAGATGTCATATTGCTACAGATGTGAATGTAGGTTACCATTATGTGTGTGTTATGCATCCAGAATTTTGTGAGTTGAGAATTTAATTGTTTTTTAACTTTATATTTTATGCAAATTTGATCCTGGTTCATTTTTTTTTTTTTTTTTTATAATCACAGTTACTCGGCCCAGATCTCTAAAGGTACATGGCAGGATACTGACACTTGCTAAAGCATGTGGGACCATAGCAGACTGCACTTTTGAGGAGCTGTGTGATCGAGTAAGCTTGTGTTTCCCATGTTGTTTCACCATCCTCCATTGAAATGAACTATTGAGTATTGTGTTGTTTTTACTGTTAGCCTGTAGGAGCCAGCGACTACCTGGAGATCTCTGCTGTGTTTGACACAGTTTTCATCCGAAACATTCCTTTGCTCACTTTGAACAAGAAGACGCAAGCCAGACGCTTCATAACTCTCATTGATGCACTATATGAGCACAAGGTAGGTCATGAAGCACTTGTGATTTCTGTTGGAAGGTCTTAAAGGAACCTCTCTCAGTTCGGTGGAATATCTCCACAGGTTCGAGTCGTGCTGCAGGCCGAAGCTCTGTTAGATGAGCTGTTTGTTCGTGACCATCATGACGATCACGACCATCACGACACTCATGTTTTATTGGATGATCTGGGCATTTCAAGGGTAATTTACAAACCATTTCCTATTTGAATTCTTTGAGAATTAAATGAGGAACCTGAATGTTGCCTTTGGAATTTTATTATAAATCTGAGAGAAGCCCATGAATTTCTATCTGTCAATTCTTATATATTTCTACTACCATTCAAAAGTTTGGGGTTGGTAAGTTTTTTTTATTTTTATTTATATTTTTGTAAAAATGTTTTTGAGAGAAGTTTCTATAGTAAATATTATTACAATTTAAAATAACTGTTTTCTATTTGAATGTATTTTCAAATGTAATTTATTCCTGTGATGCAAACTCCAGTCTTCAGTGTCACATGATCCTTCAGAAATCATTCTAATATGCCGATTTGCTGAAACATTTCTTATTATCAGTGTTGAAAACAGTTTTGCTGCTACATATTTTTGTGGAATCCATGATACGATTCATGATTGTTTGATGAATAGAGAGTTCAAAAGAACTAACAAAAATGACTTCACTGTCACTTTTGATTCATTTAATGCATCCTTGTTGAATTAAAAGTATTCATTTCTTTTTGAAAAGTCTTCCTGACCCCAAACTTTTGTTGCTCAATAGGATTGGACAAAATGAGAGTGATGTAATCATTATTGAGAATGTTCTATTTCGTTATGGTAGGTGGGGTGTGCTTAACTGTCATGAAATATTGAAAATAAAATACTCCATTAATACTGCAAAATAAAACCTCTTAATGGTCTTAAAAATAAACTAGTTCACCCAAAAAGGAACATTTGTTGATTTGGTTATCCAATATATAGATGAGTTTTTCTTAATGGGAACAGATTTGGAGAAATGTAGCATTACGTCACTTGCACACCAATGGATCCTCTGCAGTGAATGGGTGCCGTCAGAATGAGAGTCCAAACAGCTGATAAAAGCATCACCATAATCCACACCACTCCAGTTCACAATTCTTGTGAAGCCAAAAACTTTTGTAAGAAAAAAAAAAATCCATCGACATTTTTAACTTCAATCTGTTGCTTCTGGCTAAAATAGTCTATAATCCATAATATTGCTTTCTCTATTGAAAACAAACTTCTCTGCATCTTGGCTGACCTGAGGTTGAGCAGGTTTTAGCAAATTTAAATTTTTGGGATTAACATCTTTTGATTTTTAACCTTGATGTGATGATCTCTTCACATTGATGGGCGGCAGTGATTTGATTGTCTCTTTTAATGCATCAGGATGCAGGCAGCTCACTGGCGATCTTTAAAGATTATTATGCCTATATTAATAAGAATACATTAATTGTGCCGTAAAACAGTTAATTTAATAGTAATTATAATATGAATAAAATGTAAGATATTTATTTAATTTGATATGTAATTTTAATTAAATAGTTTGTGTATATATTTTATTTTAAATGTATTAAAAATATAGTTTTATATATATATTTATATTTAAGTAATGCTTGATTGTCATGAAATGAATGATACATGTAAGTACTCTTGATGTTTTTAAAACCATTTCAAGGTAATTTTTTCCTTGTGCTTTGGAAATGTGAGATTAGCTGTTTTCTTTGAGATTCCCCAGTCGCATTTTCTTCAGAGAACGCACACGTGTGAATGCATTCTATTGCAAGACACTTAGTCTAGAAGCCATTTATTCGAGAGAGTGTATAAAATAAGAGCTCTTGCGATGGCACATCTGTGTAATGTGCAGATGACATGTGTGTGATACTGGAGGTCGAGCTCCAGGTCTGCTCTCCGGCCCTTTAAGAAGCAGTTCCTCCGACTGGTTCCAGGGGGCGGAAGATCTTTGTGTTGCTGTTCTTCTCTGTAGTTTGCGGCAGCGCATTAGGGGCTTTGGCAGTGCTGGATCGCCCGGGTTGCGGGACGCAACGTCCTGCACCGACATGGAACAGGGCTCATGGAGGCTTATTGGGAAAAATCGTGTGTGTGTTGTTAGGACTCATTTGTGCCGATTTGCAGAGGGACGGCTGTGGAGGTATGGCTTGATCGTTTGAGGACACTTTCGCGCACGTATAGCTCTTCTGGTCGCTTGAAATCCGCGATTTTAAAAGGCGGGAGCTGCGTTCCGAAACAATGTAACATTCGCATTATGATGTAATGTTACAATCGCAGCGCGACGTCATGCAACAATTGAACAAATTCGCTCTGTTCCATTCTTTATGCTTTTGAACCACGTTCGCTCATTAAACGAGTCGAGTAGGGGCATTTTTGCTCGTTTTGTCGTTTATTTAATGCTTAAAACTAACCAAATCGAGCGAGATTCATAAACGAACTCTTCTGTGTGCTGGAAGTGGCCATGAACGCATTTGTAAATATTCCTAAACATCTCACGACATCAATTCGATTCCCTGAGAGTCCCGCATTGAAATGTGGACTCTAGAAGTGACCCATTAATGGCATGCACGAGGCCACTGCTGCTGCTGCTGTGTTCAGAAAAGCCGTCCATACATCATTCATTTGAAGGAGTCGAGGAAATATGGCAGAGGAGATGGATAAGCCCTTGGATGTGGACGTCGACATAGACCCTGATTTCGAGCCCCAAAAAAGGCCCAGGTCCTGCACCTGGCCTCTGCCCAGACCGGAGTCCAATGCCGGGAAAGCAGAACCAGCAGAGGTGGGACTCATTCCTGAGGAAGAGGTGGATGAAAATGGCACTGATGATGCTTGTGCATCTAGTGGCATTACAGGCGCATCAAAGCGTGTCAGTGTGAGAGAAGGAAACCAGGCTGTTGCTGCTGCTCCTGCCATAGAAACCAATGCTGCTGTCAGTGATAAAGGCACCTACGGCTCTCCTGTATCTTCCCAACATGCTCTACCCGCATGCAACGGTCTGACTCCTCAGCAGCCCAGAAAATCCTCTGCCCGCAGGAACGCCTGGGGAAACTATTCCTACGCGGACCTCATCACTCAAGCCATCGAGAGCTCACCCGAGAAACGGCTGACATTGGCCCAGATTTATGATTGGATGGTCCGGAATGTGCCATACTTCAAGGACAAAGGTGACAGCAACAGCTCTGCAGGATGGAAGGTACATCAGGTCAAAGAGACGGGCTGGTTTTTAACCAGGTCTTGCTTTAAGTGCATGTCAGGACTGTTTATGTTCTCAAAATCCATTTGTTGTAGCTAATAGGGTGCATTTCAAGTTAATTGGGACATCTCAATGGCAAAAAGTGTCCAGAATTCACCACTATATGTGCTAATATTCTTACAGGGTGCTACAAAGATGCTGGAAACGTGGACAACTACAGTAGTCGTGTGGTTTGCTGATAAAGTGCATGCTGTTGTGGTCATGCCAAAGGGCGTTACAGCAGACAAATTGAGGAAGGTGCCCCTGATAAAGAGTTAAAGAGCTTTTGAATGGCTGCTGCTTTCCCCATAATTTCCACAAGTACTGACGTGTGATCAAAAGAATGAGACATGGCAATATCGATAACATGTTCTCTAATCATTCTTTGTATGATCAATAGGATTGATTGACTCCTAAAATATAGGGCTTATGCTATGCTCACTTTTTATCATCCCCGTTTGATTTGAGGGATTAGCTCGGCCTGGAAAAGCAATCGATCCAACATGGGATCGAGTCTAATGAATGTTCTTGGTTTGATTTGAATTTGAGAAAAACCTCGGGAAATCCATGTGCAGTCCTGCAGATGTAGGGCTGTTGTGCAGATAATGCATTTAAAAAGATGATTTGGCACCTTCACAAAACAAGCCATTTTTAAAAATTATTTTTCAATTATTTGATTAAAATATAATTGAATTTTCTAATTTTAGAAATGAAATTATATATTGTAAAATTAGTTAATATTTACACTATGCATAATTAATTTGAATAACTTTTGCCCTTTTTGCATAATCATTTAAGAGCCAATGTATATTTTATACATCATAATGATAGCAGTCCATAGTAACATGTAGGTTAGTTGCCAAATTGAATGTTTAAATCCTGTCTTATTTGTTAAAACAGACATATTGTTGATTTCTGTTAAAAAGGTCCAAGCAGATTGTAGGAACAGTCAGCTGTACCCAGTGTAGATAAAGCCATCCTACAGTGTTTGCATCTGCCTGCCACTGAACCAGGAAAAAAAGAGAAACCGCAGGCATATCGTCAGTGTCAGGGTTGCTATTGGCGGTTTCGTCCCCACCTCCACTTCTTATTGGCTCTGGGCTACAGCATAAGAAGCAATCAGCTGACTGGAAACTATGTAGGTCAGTGTGTAGCAACGTGTGAAGAGCTTTGGTGTTTGACTCTGAGAGACAGCATTGTGTGTGAACTGGCGGCTCTCCAGTGCTGTTCTGAGTGGTGCTTTGCTCAAAAGGGACTGCATCATGGCTTTCAGATGATTTCAGCCCCTCTCTTCCTCTATCCCTCTCTTCCTCTTTTTCATGGTCCTGTGTAGATTTAAGTACAGAATCTTTAAGATGATTTTCAGTGCTACATTCACATAATCTGACACTCTAGTTCAGTGTTTCCCAACTTTTTTTTTAGTCGCGGCACCCTTTGGAAATTTTAACAAACTTGTGGCACCCTACAAAATAAATTGTCACAATATTTGAATTTCTAACTTCGATATGATCATTTGAAAAGTATAGATATTCGGTACAACAGGGAAGAACTGCAGAATATAGTGTCATACGGATATTTTTAATATTATTAAAAAATGTTGTCCATCAATGGTGGCAATCAGTAGGCTAATTTCTAATGAAGAGACCAATTTATATGACAGATTTTAATGTAGGCTTTTATACACATGTAAACATTATTTAATTACCATTATAACTATCTCACAAATTTTTGCTCCGTGTTTTTTTTAATTTTACAGTGGGGTAGTTTTGTTGCAGTAGCACGAGATAGCTTGATTTCAAACTTTGAATTGAATAAAAAATGACAAGTAAGCAGTCAGTAATAAAATAAGAACAAATAAAGAAATTTAATAATGATAGCACAAATAGAAAATAACGACAGGCCTTCAAATTAAATAAATTGCTTTTTAGTTTTTCAGGTAGGTCTAACAGTAGGGTTAAGATATTTAACTTCTTTTTTTTTTTTTTTTACCAATTATCCAAATAATTTTTAGTCCTAGAAAGCTATTATTATCAGAACACGCGGGCATAACATAGCGGTTAGCGGATCAATGAATGAGAGGGCAGCCTTTCCAGAGTTGCCCATAAACCACACTATTACAGCACAGTAGGGCTATTGCAGACAGAAACAATACTGTACTACATCCATGTTTCCTGTCAGCTCAATTTTTGAGTGGACTTTGCTGTTCCGATGAGCATGAACGGTGTATGAGTGGAGCGACTGAGCGGAGCGCACACATGCATAGAGCCGGATAATACGCAGAGCGTCACTCCACGTGAAAGTGAATCCTGAGCGGTGAACTAATTTTCGGCAAATTGATATTATATAATAGATGCTTTTTTTTTTTTTTACATTTTAGCAATTTAAATATATTAAAAAATGATTTTTTTTACACGGCACCCCTGCTCTCGACAGACGGCACCCCGGTTGGGAAACACTGCTCTAGTTAATGCAGTAGGTTACTAATGCAAATTTTACAAAGGGGTAAATCTCATGAAACCTGTCAAGATTTTAGATTCAAAAACATTAGGATATAATAAACATCTAGAATGCATGTGAAATATGCTCTTCAGTTGTAATTGTAATTGCAGGAAAATCAAACATGGATAAATTAAATATTCTAACTGATTTGAACACTGATTCAATTTGTCATCGAAGATACTGCTCTTATTCCAAGTCTAGTTGGTAATGATCTGTTTTGTAATCAATGTAGCTATGAATGTCAACAAACAATCTGATGGATGTCTTCGATTAGATTCTCAATCCAATCAATTCCGTTAGCCAGCTTAACAAAGCAAAAAAAGGAAAACTGCTTACGTTCTTTAAGAATGAGTTGGGAAACATGTTCTTCTTAGACAGGAGAAAGATCTGTCTTAGATTAAATCCAGTAATAGACCTGAAGAAAAGGCATTAATGGAAGTGAAGTGTTATGAGGTCGGCCCATTCACTCTTTGAGAGGTTCAGAGGTTGGTAAGGAGATGTTCATGGATGGTGATGAGCAGTGTCCAGCTTACTTCAAGATGTAGCAGGCACTGCGTTTGATAAATTCACACCATTTTTAGACACTGTCTGCTTGACTATTCATCAAAGAGGAACATGTCTTGCTTGTGAATTTGATCACATCCCCTTATGCTGCATTATGGATTGCTGTACCTTCTGTTCTGCAGTCCACATTAATGCAGCTTCACTGCACTGCACTCTTAAACTTTTTACATGATTGCGGATTTCTCCATGAATCATTCAGCTTTCTCTGCAGTAGGAGACATTTTAGATTGTTCATAGCTGACTAGTATTGTGGTGTATTACTACCTTGAGAAAATCCTGGTCACCAAATGTGATGTTTCTTAGTGATTGCACTGGTGTGTCTACAGAATTGCCTGTTTTCTGTTGCAAATGCCAAAAGCCGAACACTCAAAGTTACCCAGTTGAATTGCACAGCGCAGACCAATTATCTGCACAGCCCAACGGACAGCATAGAGTGGGTTGATTTATTTGTAGATTGGTCTTGACCAGAGAGGCCAGACCAATTTGAACAGTGTGTGTGAAATTCAAATGAGAACAGTCCTTTTTCTATTTTCTATAAAGGTGCTTTAGAAGAGTGTATTCATTAAAAGTAAACGAGAAGTATATGAATGTTTTAGGCATGTCTTATGATGCACAGCTCATTATCTACTCCTCTCTTTTTACAGAACTCAATACGACATAACCTGTCACTCCACAGTCGCTTTGTCCGGGTCCAGAATGAAGGAACAGGAAAGAGTTCATGGTGGATGGTCAACCCTGATGGTGGAAAAGGGGGAAAAGCTCCGCGGAGACGTGCTGTTTCCATGGACAACAGTAATAAGCTCATCAAGAGCGCCCGTGGCCGTGCCGCAAAGAAGAAGGCCGCTCTTCAGGCCACTCAGGACGGAAGCTTTGAGAGTTCCTCCAGCCTGTCCAAATGGACTGGCAGCCCGACCTCCCGCAGTAGCGACGAGCTCGACGCTTGGACGGATTTCCGTTCCCGCACTAATTCTAATGCAAGCACCCTAAGCGGACGCCTTTCCCCAATTCTGGCCAACCTCGAGGTGGATGAAGTTCCCGATGACGACTCCCCCCTGTCGCCCATGCTGTACTCGAGCCCTAGTAGTATGTCTCCGTCCACTGGACTAATAGAGCTACCCCGTCTAGCTGATCTTGCAGGAACCATGAACCTCAACGACGGCCTCTCCGACAACCTAATGGATGACCTTCTAGATAACATCAGCCTGACAGCTTCCCAGTCTCCGGGTCAAGACGAGAGTGGGGCCAACCTACAGGGAAGCCCTGTGTTTACCTTCAGCTGCTCTGGGAGCAGTCTGGCAATTCCCTCTGGCAGCTATGGCACCAACTCCATGTTTAGCCCTCCATCCGTCACTGGCCTGAGGCAGTCTCCAATGCAAACGATCCAGGAAAACAAGCAGGCAACGTTCTCCTGCAGTTCCCTCTTTAGTGATCCGAGTCTGCAGGATTTGCTCAGCTCCGAGTCCAACAGTCACAGTGATGTCCTTCTGACCCAATCCGATCCGCTTATGTCACAAGCCAGTGCCTCCCTTTCCTCCCAGAATGCCCGTCGTAGTGCCCTGTTGCTATGTAATGACCCTATGATGTCCAATCAGGCTGGGCCTGTAGGACAACTGGGGCTCAAGAAGGTGTCGCCATCTGGATGGCGAATGAACTGTGACTTGAGCAGCGAGTCAGACTACCAAAGCTTGATGAAGCAACATCTCCAACAGTCTCCCTTCAGAAGCACATCTATGCAGCTCAACTCCTCCGATTCATTGTTGGCAGGTCTCAACGGCAGCGTGACCTCCGTTCAGTCGGTGTCTCAGGACCAATTCCCATCTGACTTGGATCTCGAGGCATTAAGTGGCAGTTTCGATTGTGACATGGATGCCATCACCCGCAACGATCTGATGGATGCTGAGGGCCTGGAGTTCAGCTTCGATTCGCATCTCATCTCCACTCAGAATGCTAACCTGACATCAGGGAGCTTCTCCAGTACCAAACGAACCTCCTCCCAAAGCTGGGTACCAGGTTGATCCAGCCAGGCCCAGGAATGTAGGGATGTGGCAGAACACTGCATTTGAGCCAACTGTCCACTGTAAAGTAACTGTACATTATGCTGTAGAAAAGCTATTTGACATCTGTTGGAATGAGTTTGTCAACGTTAATGATTTACCCAGTCGGTGTTGTAGTTTTGTGGCTGTATGTTTTGTATTGTCATGATTGAGGCTGGTTTGATGGACGTTGTGAAGAGTTTCAACAAATTTAACCTTGAAGTGCTTGCAGGTTAATCTAAACACCCATGACAAGGTATTGAACTCGGCTGCTGGAATACGGTAAGTGGAGTACCGTAGAAAGAAAGTTGTTTATATATGAAGGCTTGGCCAACAGTACTTCCCTTAGTCCATCTAGAATACAAAATCTGAAAGCATTTGGGAATGTGAAAAGAATCGGGTCAGTTTGAAAACCAATTAAATAACTAATGAATACTCATTAGTAAACTGGTTCCTACGACAAGTGGAGCAACGTGGAGAGACGGTTGTCTATATGTAGGCTTGGGCAGCTGTACTTCCCTTAGTCCACCCAGAATACAAAATCCCCAAAACCCACTATTACGTATAAGGGTGCCTACACACTAGAGAAAGCTCTTTCAAAATAATTTGGGAGTGTGGAAACAGTCAGTTTGAAGACCAAGTGAGAATCTTGAATTCTCATTGATCAACTGGTACCTACAACAAGTGGAGGGTCATAGAGGGAAGGTTGTCAGTATATGAAGTCTTTGGCAACTGAACCTCCCTTAGTCCATCTAGAAAACCCACCACTGCGTATGAATGTGCCAACACAGTAAGAATCTCTTATGAAAGCATTTGAGAGCGTGGAAAGATTTTGGGTCAGTTTGAAAACCAAGTAAGAATTGTGAATTAGTCAACTGGTACCTACGGCAGTTTGCACTGCAGAGAAATGTAAAATATTCTCATTGTTTGGTAGTGTCAACCTTGCATTTTCGTCTATGTCGTTGTGATACTTTATCCCCATTGAAATCAAGTCAAGTGTAGTCTATAGGTGCCCTTAGTTTGTTGTAGTATCTTGTAACCGTGATCAAGATGAATAAACTTCTAGTCCTTGAAACAAACACTTGCCTTTTGCCAAACTAGTCCTCAGGACAATTGCAGCAATGGCCTGATTACAACACAAACTCTTGAGAAGGTTTCTGTTGTCCGAAAAATGGCCATGAAAAATCTGTCTCTTTCTCCAATAATTTTTTTTGTGTGAAGCTGAAAAAAGGGAAGAGGTTGTGTTTTTGTGAAAACAGTGAACAATATATCCTTGACTCCTTTTTTATGGAAAAGTGAACTATGATATGATGATAAGCTATATATTTAGTGTTCTGCTGTATGAAACTAGCTTGTCAGTGTTTCCTATGGATTTCCTAACAAACACAACCTGTGCATTTATCTTGCTCAGAGTTCTTGAACACGAGCATCTCCGTCACCTCTAAACCACGTTCACTTCCGAACTCAACCATTTTAGAATAGACTATGAGCTATATATTTGTATTTCTGTATGTATACACACACACACATAGGACCTCATTCATGTCATGGCTGTATAAATTGTAAGATCAATGGTTTTTTGAACAATTTACACCTGTAAATAGTTCTTAAATAGTTGCATTCAATGCCATTTAGTGTTTGTGTGCATTTACTGTACATTGACATGCATGCAACCATTTACCTAAAAATGGGTTTACAAATTTCTCTTTAAATCATACATTTCTTTTGTGCTTGTATTTCATGAATGAGGCCCGTAGTGCTTGTGTATATGTGCTGTACACTGAAAATATGTGCGTGTGTCTATACACGTAAATATTGGATTCATTCTAGAGATAAGGTATATTAACAGTTATAAATTTTGGAACGCTGATTAAGGACCACTAGATGTTTGTGTATTTGTAGCAGGAAAAAATGAAGCTAAGAGCATTTGGTGCGAAGTGATATTGTTTTGGGTCAGTTCATACGGCTGGCATGTCACATTCTTAGCATTTATGTATATATATCTACACAATGGCTGGTGCTAGTAGACAGCGTGTATCAGTTGTGATGGCAGTTTGTTTTAAGCATCCTAATAGTTTTTCAAATGAAAGGCAGCCGCATTGGAGTATTACAGCCTGTATGGTTGTAAGCTATGTAAGAAAGCACCTATCTTGTACTGTATTTCACTGTTGATCTTGAACATGCCAGACAACCAAATTCAAGGCTGATCAGAAATAATGCAACTATTCCGTTTGATGAAATGGTAGTGCCATTCAGGGACAACTTGCAGATGTTTCAGTAGTTACATCTAATGTTGTTTTAACATCACAGTGGAATGTACCTTTTGTTAAGGTTAGCTTCACGCCCAGAATTTTCATAAGCTTCTTAAGCACTGATTTTTATAATCTGCTTTATAATCAGCCGGAGTCACAGAATTTAAGATGACTATAAAAAGTTGATTGTGCTTGGTTTACCTTTTGTTTACTTAGATTCATATTGTGTAATCCGTTTTCAACATTATAATTTGCTACCTTTAAATGATTTTAATTCAGATATTTTAATTTTGCTAAGATTTTCATTCAGTTTGAAGTTTAATCTTAAAGGGAATTAACACGAATTGTGAGAACGTAATCTGCGTGTGTACCACCTAAACACAATTGGCCGTTTGTTACCATCCACTCAATGTTTGCTTGACTTTACCTGTGTATTTCAATTTTGGATAATGTAAACAAGGTAGTGCAAGGCAAGGTGCATGTAAATAAAGCTTGTACAACACAATGCATTCCTGTAGTCTTTATTTTAATTTGTTGTAATATAAGCAGGTGATTTAAAGGAATAGTGCAACAAATTTACTTTAGGTTGTTACTTCATTGAAACAGATTTGGGAAAATGTAGCATTATATCACTTGCTTACCAATGGATCCTCTGCAGTGAATGGGTGCCGTCAGAATGAGAGTCCAAACAGCTGAATAACAACATCACAATAATCCACACGACTCAGTTAATGAAGTGAAAAGCTGTGTATTTGTAAGAATCCAACCACATTTTTGTTTATAGCTGTTTTGGACGGTTTCCTTTTGTAATTGGTGCTGGATCTGTGCATATTTCTCTCCTGATTCATATGAGACAACTTTTGCACTGGAAGGAGCAATGTTATGGATTATGGACTTATATTTTAGCTGGAAGCAAAGGTTGACGTTAAAGGCACCCATTCACTGCAGAGGATCCATTGGTGAGCAAGTGATGTAATGCTACATTTCTCCAAATCTGTTCAGATGAAGAAACAAACTCATCTACATCTTAAATGGCCTGAGGGCGAGTACATTGTCAGCCAATTTTAATTTTTGGGTGAACTATTTATTTAATGCCTGTGCATCTGTCCGGTCAAACTGATTACCAGATTTGAAAATATAATACTTTTAAACCATTAATTGCATAGTTGCAAACAACATGCAATGAGGTCTAAGGGTCAGTTGGCAAACACTCTTTCATTTATTTGATTTTAGGGGCACAGATTTCTGTGGTTCATGAATGCACATAGAGTTAATTTAATGAAAACCCTGCTTACTCTCCAGGCCATACAGATTTCATCTAAAATACTCTTTTAAAAACAGAACAGGGTTCAAACTATAAATACTCTAGGTTATGAGGCTTAAAAAAGTACATTTTCAGCAGCTCATATTTGCTCAAACATGTAAATTTCCAATTTCTCACCCCATTTTCTTCCTGTTAAGCCTCAGTTTTGACACTTTAAAAATAACCTCCGAGCATGATGTTGCCATTACTGTTCTTGACAGTGAAAGTGATGCGACTGAGGTTTGGATTGCAACAGATAACAACAAAAGTCTCATCAGAATATAATTTTCTCCTAAGGTTTTGGGTTTTGTTACATGCTCTAACCACTTTCCCAAACTGACCAGGTCTGTGATGGCCTAAAGAGATGACTGGTGTCTGGATTCAGCCTACACTCTTAAAAATAAAGGTGCTTCACGATGCCATAGAAGAACCTTTTTGTCTAAATGGTTCCATAAAGAACCTTTAACATCTGAAGAACCTTTGTTTCACTAAAGGTTCTTTGTGGCGAAAGAAGGTTCTTCAGATTATAAAAAGGTAAGAAAGAGATGGTTCTTTAAAGAACCTTTGACTGAATGCTTCTTTGTGGAACCAAAAATGGTTTTTCTATGGCATCGCTGTGAAGAACCTTTTGAAGCACCTTTATTTTTAAGAGTGTAGCACTTCCAAGAAGGTTCTAATCTTTGCCAAGACTTTTCTTTTTCTAGTTTTTCCTCCTATGAAGGGCGTCCAGATTGTCTATGGTTACCAAGGGGACCCGTGTTATGAAAATGTATGAAACGTTCACTCAGATAGAGCCCCTGTTGTTGTTTGATTGCCGATATTTGTCCAAAATTAGTGTGTATTCATGCACACGTAGCAATCATGCGCTCATTCATACGCGCTGCACAATCGGTGGGATTGATTGTGTTTTAAGAAAATCATTCATAATGTTTTACTGCTCTCTGCAGGGTGGAAAACAACCCCTAGTGACAATAGCTGTAAAACGTGCCCGGTGTCCTTGTGCACTCATTGGTAGGACAGCACCTTCTCTGATTGGCTATCGGCTCCTTTTGCCACGAACCAATCGGTTCTTCTGTATCCAAGTCAACTTGGATTGTTGAGCTATTTAAATCCAGAGAAGGTGGATCTGATTTATTGACTTTTACATTGAAAATCGCCTGATTGAAAAGATTCTCGCTGTATGTTGAAAGTGACAACCATCTAAGTATTTTATTTTTTTAAACAAAATATATATTTGATTTGCAGCATATTAACAACTACCTCGGTCAACGGGAAGCTGTTTGAGGTCTTGCATTTGATCAGAATCAGAATCAGAATCAGAAAGAGCTTTATTGCCAAGTATGTTTGCACATACAAGGAATTTGTTATAGTGTCACAAGCTTCCAGTACACTGAGACAACAACAACACACAGATAATAAAAGTGAGATGTGAATAAAATACACATGCATAAATATAAACCACAAAAAAAAAAGAATAAATTGTATGTACAGGTGTGCTATAGATGGAATAGGAATAGAATAAAATAAAATAAGTTGTAGGGATGTACTAGGGTTTAGGGTGATAAATAATTATAAGGTTATTGCACGTACTGTACTTTAATTGCACAATGGGAGAACATTAACTGTTCATGAGGTAGATTGCCTGGGGAAAGAAACTGTTCTTGTGTCTGGCTGTCCTGGTATTCGGTGCTCTGTAACGCCGACCAGATGGCAAAAGTTCAAAAAGGAGATGGCTTGGATGTGATGGATCCAGAGTGATTTTCTGAGCCCTTTTCCTCACTCTGGATGTATACAGTTCTTGGAGGGTAGGCAGGGGGGCACCAATAATCCTTTCAGCAGTCCGAACCGTTCTCTGTAGTCTGATTTTGTATCTGAACCAAACCAGACAGTTATTGAAGTGCAGAGGACAGATTCGATGATGGCTGAGTAGAACTGTTTCAGCAGCTCCTGTGGCAGGTTGAATTTCCTCAGCTGGCGAAGGAAGTACAACCTCTGCTGGGCCTTTTTAACAATGGAGTCAATGTGAGTGTCCCACTTCAGGTCCTGAGAGATGGTGGTGCCCAGGAACCTGAATGACTCCACTGTCGTTACAGTGCTATCCATGATGGTCAGTGGGGGGAGTGCAGGGGGGTTCCTCCTGAAGTCCACGATCATCTCCACTGTTTTGAGGGTGTTCAGCTCCAAGTTGTTAAGACTGCACCAGACAGCCAGCTCTTTAACCTCCTGACTGTAAGCAGACTCCTCACCATCCTTGATGAGACCGATGACTGTAGTGTCATCATAAGATCAGTATAAGAACTCTTTCATCTGAAATATAGTAAATAAAAAAAGAAGAATACCTTGTTGATGACTTGAGGTATACCTTTGAGCAGTGTTGGGGAAAGTTACTTTCAAAAGTAATGCATTACAATATTGCGTTACTCCATAAAAAAGTAACTAATTACGTTACTTAGTTACTTTTTATGGAAAGTAATGCGTTGCGTTACTTTTGCGTTACTTTTTAAATCTGGACAGGGCTTGCTTGTTTGTTTTTAAATGAAAAAAGTTATATTTTTGGCAAATATAAAAGCCTTTTCACACCAAAAGTGAAATGAATCAGCCTCAGGCTGAAGGGAAAGTACATTTACGTCCATAGAATGCAGAAGAAGAAATTTCAACACAATTCAGCAATAAACAAAGACACACACATGTTTGTCTAGAGTAATTTTTGCTTATTAGTACGCTTGAACTGGATCATCGAAGGTCAGAAGCAAAGACATTGGTTAATAGAATGGGATTAAATACATAAAGGATATTTGTGTTGTTTAACATTTAATTATTGCATGTTTGCGTCATATTCTGAGTTGCATTATTTTATTCATTTTGAGGAATACTGAATCTGTGTTTTTTTTGTGAGTGAGATGAATTAATGCATATTCATATTTATTTTAGAACTACAGTAACATCTTCTGATTTCTCTCACCATGGGGACAGGAGAGCTGTCAATCAATACATTGAAGGAAAAAAGTAACTTGCACTCAGATATTCTCTTGTAAATTAAAAAGTAATGCGTTACTTTACTAGTTACTTGAAAAAAGTAATCTGATTACGTAACTCGCGTTACTTGTAATGCGTTACAGCAACACTGCCTTTGAGACAGGTCTGTACTCTTTGCTTGTGTCAGCACAATACAATTGAGTCACTTGACTGAGTTTTCGTCGCCTTCTGCAGGTTAAAAGACGAATACATGCAGGTTCAAATCTCTTCATTTGCCTTCGATATTATTTGCTGTACAGATGCAACTTTTATTTTATTTTTTGTGCTAAAAAATAATAAAAGTGTCTAAAGGAATGCCAGTGGAATTCCTGTGATAATCTGGAACCAATCCAAAACAAAAATAAAACAATCAAATAATACCACACTACTCATTTGATTTGTTTGACAGTTCTAGTTTTGAGCCCTTAACTGTAAAAGTCCATAATATCAAAGTTTAGATCTAAAGCTGTGATTTACCGCCATTCTTGAAAAGTGTGTGCGCGCGCGTCTGGCGTCTCTATAGCAACTGCTCAAACACTGATACACTGTAGCAAACGTTTAGACGGTGGAGACATTTTTAAAGTTCTTTTGTGTTTTCTTAATTCTTTCTATCTTTTGAACGCGCTGTATGTAGACTGCTCTACACGCAACTAATACACAACTGCAAGGACGGAACGACTACCTGATTTTTTTAACGATAAAACTGAGATTGTGACTTGAAGATGTCACAGACATATAGGTTCGGCTCGTCAGTGAAAGTAGAGCAGCTGGAAGAAGAACTGTGTGCTCAGATTCAGGCTCTGAAAGCTGAGATTGAGGACAATGAGACTTTACACCAAATATCCTCAAAACCATACAGGTGAGATAACTTGAATTCATTTCATTAACCATCATTATTAACTGAATTATTTAATGCTTAATGTACATTTACATATTTAAAATTGTCATGGAACTTGATTCATTCGTATTTTGATATATACATATCACAATATGCGTTTTATGTGGAATGAACATTTTTGATAGTGACTTGTGTCATGTTTTCATAAGGAATTATTCAAAAGTGTTTTCCCTCCTGATGTATCCAATAGACCAGAATATTATTTAAGGCATAGTTTACCCAAAAATGTACATTTTCTGAAAATTCATTCACCCTCAGGCCATTCAAGATGTAGATGAGTTTGTTTCTTCATCAGAACAGATTTGAAAAAATGTAGCATTCCATCACTTGCTCACCAATGGATGCTCTGCAGTGAATGGGTGCCGTCAGAATGAGAGTCCAAACAGCTGATAAAATCATCGCAATAATCCACAAGTAATCCACACCACTCCAGTCCATCAATGTAATACTTTGTGAGGCAAAAAGCTGCATTTTAACTTTAAACCTGGACCACTGGAGAATGAAATATTATGGATTTGTTATGGAGTAGTGTGGATTACTTGTGAATTATTGTGATGTTTGGACTCTCATTCTGACGGCACCCATTCACTGCAATGGATCCATCGGTGAGCAAGAGGTTACATTTCTTCAAATCTGTTCTGTTCTGTTTTGGATGGCCTGAGGATGAGTACATTTTTAGCACATTTTTGGGTGAACTATTTTTTTAATGATCTGCTCTTTCCAACTTTTTCAGCTCTGTCCATATTCCAAAAGATGTGGCTTACTTTCGTATGGAGAGGCAGCAGGTGCTCCTCAAAGCACTGCAAGTGAGTTTTGACAGATATTTCAGTTCTTATTCAGGTTTTTGATATCCTGCGTGTGCCTGCAGCTGTTTATTTGACATTTCTTGTTGTCTTTGTTGTAAATGACCTGTGACTTTAGGTTTCGTCCACAAAGCCTGTTGTGTCTCAAGCAGAAGTTGCTCAGAGAGAGATGGAGAGCTGTCTGACCCAAGAGTACACACCTGATAGTCTGCCCTTACTGCTGCATCAGGTTCCTTATGAGCTGTTTTATTGTGTTCACACAAATATAATCTTGTGGGAAAACATTTCTGATCATTTTGACTCCATTCTCAACAGTTTTACACAGATCAAACGTATAAACTGGCACAGTGCAAATACCAGCTGATGCTGAGATGGAGGAGATTCGGCCACCATTCCACTGTGCTGGAGAAACTATATCCTCAATATAAAGTATCTAAATTCTGCATTTTACAATATTTTCATGCATTCATAGGCAAAATGAATCCATTCATCATGTCCATTTTGCTCTGTTTAGAAACAGATCACACATTTAACCAATGAATTTGAGGATTCTGTGCATCGGGCACGTCGTCTTGCCGTGTCCAGAGAGAAGGTCCTGGTGGGTGTGGAGAGCCCAGTCGGTGTGGTCACACAGGAAGATGTCATCATTTACCTACAGTGGCTCATTTGCCATCTGCACTCTGTCAAAAGCATCCACAGCGTTCTGCATGTGAGAATACATAAGAATCTAACCAAATATTCAAGACTGGAGGAGAACAAATGTAAAAGTTTAAGATTTCTGATATTCTTTAATTATAAATTCTGGTAGGGAGGACATTGGTCATCTAACAACTAATGATGATTATAAGAAAAGGTGATTTGAATTTTTATCATATGTTGGCTGTAGGTTCTTCATTATCTCCCTTCTACTCAGTGGAATGAGGATCAGATGTCCAGTGCTGTAGATTTGACATCTCCTGCATATTTTGATGGTAAAGAACCCGTTTTTTTGATGCTGTATATTAGTTGAAAATTCTGTCATTAATAACTCACCCTCATGTCGTTCCAAACCCGTAAGACCTTCATTCATCTTCGGAACACAAATTTGAAATTTGATGAAATCTGAGAGCTTTCTGACCCTGCATAGACAGCAACACAACTACCACGTTCAAGGCCCAGAAAGGTAGTAAGGACATTGTTAAAATAGTTCATGTGACATCAGTGGTTCAGCTGTAATTTTATGAAGCTACGAGAATACTTTTTGTGCGCAGAGAAAACAAAAAGAATCACTTTATTCAACAGTTTCTTCTCTTCCGTGTCAGACTTCAATGCATATGGTGCTGCTGATGCAGGAGCCGGCATTCTTTGAAGATGTGCAGATGTTTTATGAATATAGGTTCACAAAATTAAAGTCAGACTGTTCTGTTTTTGCTTCGAATTTTGAAATTATACAATCTAATGTAGATTTAAAATGCCCATGCAGCATCTTTGTTTGGACTGTGATTAAAATACAGTGGTTGCCTCTAATTTTAAATGGAAAGAGCACAGGCAAAGCCTTAGTTTGTTTATATGTTAAAGTTATTTATTTATTTGATTTGGGGTTTGTTTTAAAATTTCAATTTAGTTTTGTTATTTGACATATTTCAATTTCACAAAGAATATGCTGCATTTTGTCCCAGCAATAATAAAAGGACACTTTTTCATTTATAATTAGTCTTAAATCTCATTTTGTGAAAAAAAAATCATATCGTGTAATCAATATTGTGAACTGTATCGCATCGGGAGTTGAGTCAGTCGTTACATACCTACATGTTACTCTGTTTTTGACCCATCCAGGTGTATTTGTATCAGTTTCAGAGGTCCCCCCGCACTCGACCAATATAGAGGATTTTCAAACCCAGCTGGACTTCCTCCTGTCACATTTTGACATCCAGTATAATACCAGAACCATCAAGACAGCTGGAGATGAAATGGAGCTCTTTAGTTTGGTAATCCTGACTAAATTACAATGAAAATGAAAATGTGCTTACCCTCAGGCATTCCAAGATGTAGATGAGTTTATTTCTTCATGAGAATAGGTTTGGAGAAATGTGGCATTACATCACTTGCTCACCAATGGATCCTCTGCAGTGAATGGGTGCCATCAGAATGAGAGTACAAACAGCTGATAAAAACATTACAATAATCCACACCACTCCAGTCCATCAAATAACGTCTTATGAAGTGAAAAGCTGTTTGTTTATAAGAAACAAATACACCATTAAGATGTTTTTAACTTTAAACCATCGCTTCTGGCAAAAATAAAAGTCCATAATCCAAAATAACACTTCCTTCAGTGAAAAAGTCCATCTCCCGTTGTCCTCTCACATCAAAATCCACCTACATATTTGTTTAGAGCTGTTTTCACTTGTAAACGGTGCTTGATCTGTGCAGATTTCTCTCCTGATTCAGATGAGATTGCTTTTTCACTGGAGAAAACAATATTATGGATAGAGCACTTGTATTTTAGCCCAGTTTGAAGTTAAAAAAGTCATAATGATGGAATTGTTTTTTACAAACACGCAGTTTTAGATTACTTGTGGATTATTGTGATGTTTTTATCAGATATTTGGACTCTCATTCTGACGGCACCCATTCACTGCAGAGGATCCATTGGTGAGCAAGTGACGTAATGCTACATTTCTCCAATGGCCAAAGTAAATTTTCAGCAAATTGTCATTTTTGGGTGTCTATTTCTTTCAAATGAAGTCTACAATATGATGAATTCTCATAGATTATGAAAAATAAGGATTGTTATTATTGATAAATTGTTTGTGGTTTATGTAGGTTAACTACCTGTTCAGGACTGTGTTTAAAAATCAGGAGGAGATGAAGACCTTCTTGCAGTATGTCAGCACTGAAGCAACAGAGAGGAAGTGGGGGAGAAAGAGTCCGAACATGACGCTCAGAAAAGAGTCCAACTGGATTCCTCATATACAGGTCAAACAAGCGAACAGTATTTTTTAGATGTGATCATTCATGAAGTAATATGATGAAATATGACATTGTGTCTCCTGTGGGAAACAAACAGATGAAGCCAAAGCGAGATCCCTGGCAACAAAAACAAATGGCCAAACTCAAGGAGCTCAGATCAATGGATGAACTTCTCAAGATGCACAGCAAGTTCCTGGAGGTGAACGGCTGAATTTGCCACAACTTTAGCTAATGCACTAAACGTTTTGTCAAGTTTTCTTTGGTTAATGTCAGTATTAGTTCAATCACACGTACAGTTTGTCTATAGTTGTGTATCCAGCATTACTATTCTGGTCCTGTTTTGCACTTCTTCTAAAGGAGTCCGATCTTCATAAAGTGACTGATGCTTTGAAGCAGTACATTGCATCTGCTTGTCAACCAGAACCCACAAAACCTTCATCCATCAACACAGCGACACTCAAAGAAACTTCTGACATATGGAGAAGCATTTATAACACAGCAAACATGTTTCAGGTGAACATCTGTGTAACCAGTAGACTCTGTTTTTTTTTTTTAAATACATGTTCCTGGTCTTTATCGTGAACAATTCTTTAGTGCACTTTTTTTTCGCGAAATAATGAAAATATTTATCTTTCCTAATAACATTATTTTTTCATTGTATGCACATTGTTTTCCTTTTTTTGCAGGTGGCCACTGGACAGACTTCTCATTTATCTAAATATCCAGATCAGAAAATCTCTGAGAAAAAGAATAAAGGGTAATTTTCCGAATCACTGAAATATGTCTCTGTGTGTGTGTGTGTGAGGGTTTCTTTCAACAGCTCTCTGTCTTCTAGCATTGCTGGTCAAAGCAGTGGTGCTTATCTTCTTGAGAAGGATGAAGATGCTGAAGATGGTGCCAAGGATCATGTAACAGTCAGAGGAGCTTATGCATCTTTAATCTACCTGAGACACCTCAGGATCAGAGAACTCAAGGTTAAAAAAAAAACAGTCAAAATCTGGCTATGAAAGGTTTCAGAGGTTTTCGTCTTTCCGCCTACAGAAGCATCAAAATGTAATAGAGTTTTACAATACTTTTTTAAATGTGTACCATGCTAAATGTACTATGGTAATACCATGATTCTTTGGAAGTGTATCATGCAAATACATAATCATAATTATAATATTAATCATCATAATCATTATTATATTATTATTAAATTAGTTTTTTGTATTTTCCTTAGCATTTATAAAATTATGCAAGGATGACCATACTCTTGGCAAAAAAGTTATCTTTACAAGAAGTAAGAAATGTAATATTTGTGAACATATGCCATATAAATAGCAGGGTGGTTCCATGACAGTACTCTTTCGCATTGGTTATTTCCCCTGCTATCGATATAAGGGTTTTACTCCCTGAAATACTGTTTATTTGTGTAGCGTACCTGTCTGAGCATGCTAAACTACCTGCGGTCAGTGGAGAGGACTCTGGTGATGGACACTGCAGGTCTGGAGTTGGTTGGAGGAGATCTGGTGAGAAGTATGGAGGAGACGGGCTGGATGAATGCTGCTAGAGGAGACGATGGCTCTACCGGAGCTCTTGGATCACATCACTACATCTACAACAGTCCAGTTGACTATAAGGTTCCTTACTTGCAGATTCACACAGTGTTTTAAGGAAAAAACAATGCTATGTGACAGGCAGAGAGTGTTAAATCTCTGCTCTGCTTTAGGTCCACTGTGCAGAGTTTATGGAGTTTCCTGAGGTGGAGAACCTCCATGACTATTACAGCACAGACGGGAGCTGCATCCACACGCAGGACCAGCGAGGTCTCTACATCATCTATGACGTGGCCCTGATGGACCTGGAGGAGTTGGAGCAGCATCTGCTGCTCACAGCATCTCATTTCATACAGAGGAGCAGAGGTCAGGACAGAAGCTCTTGTATGCTCTTTCCTGTGGATTTTTATCCTTAAATATGCAAATTTTCTACTAGCATATACGTGTTTAAAACTCTTTTTATGATTCACTCATATTGCAATGAAATTTGCAACAAGCAAAACTTTAAAAGTAAGGTAACTTAAATGAATGAATCTGTGTTCAGATTCTATTTCTATTGATGATAATCAGAAGAATTTCCATATGTGACCCTGGACCACAAAACCAGTCATAAGGGTCAACTTTTTGAAATTGAGATTTATACATCATCTGAAAGCTGAATAAGCTTTCCATTGATGTATGGTTTGTTAGGATAGGACAATATTTGGCCGAGATACAACTATTTGAAAATCGGGAATCTGAGGGTGCAAAAAAAACTAAATACTGAGTAAATCACCTTTAAAGTTGTCAGAATGAAGTTCTTAGCAATGCATGTTAATAATCAAAAATTACGTTTTAATATATTTACAATAAGAAATTTACTAAATATCTTCATGGAACATGACCTTTACTTAATATCCTAATGATTTTTGGCATAAAAGAAAAATCTATAATTTTGACCCATACAATGTATTTTTGGCTATTGCTACAAATATACCCCAGCGACTTAAGACTGCTTTTGTGCTCCAGGGTCACATATGATAAAGGCAGGGTTATTATAGTTAACTAAAATTAAAACTATAAAAAACTTTTTCATTACTTAAAATAAATGTTAACTGGAAAAACAAAAACAAAACATATTTTACTTCAGCTATTTGCCAAGACAACAATTCCAGTTTTTTAAATAAAATGTATTTTGTTTTATTTGTTTAACTTGAAATACTAAAATACTATATAAGCTAAATAAAAATTAATAAAAATCTATATAGACATATTAAAAAAACTAATTTTAAAATAAAAACACACAAAATTACCAACATTTTTAAATAAAATAAAATGAAATTTAAAACAGAAAATCTAAAAATAAAATCCAATTCAAAATATTCAGCAAAACTGTAATAGTTTATCAATCATTCTAAAATAACAAGAAAACAATGTAGGTCTGTACTATGTGTAGGGTGAAAATTGTTTCTAAATTATATGTCAGGTGATTGAAGGTGAGAAAAAGTAAGAAGGCATCTTTGATGCTACAAGGTCATATTTTAGTATGGTTTAGCACATTTTTGCATAACTCAGCAGTGTAAAAACACCTTTAATTTGTAATATGTGTTTCACAATCATCATTTCATGTTGTTCTGTCAGAATCACATGTATCAGATGGATCTGGAGGAGATCTTTATTCCTTGGCTAGAATGGATGTGGATCGGTTGGCCGTGCTTTTAGATATATGGACATGTGAAACAGAATTTCTGGAGCACAAAATCCAGGTATGTGTCAGGTGATTGCCGTTAAAAGTCATGTTTAATGATGCTATACACTACTGTTCAAAGGTGCCGTTCATTTGATCAAATATACAATAAAACAGTAATATTGTGAAATATCGTTACAAAGGTTTTCTATTTAAATATATTTTATAATATAATTTATTCCTGTGATCAAAGCTGAATTTTCAGCATCATTACTTCAGTCTTCAGTGTCACATGATCCTTCAGAAATCAATCTAATATGCTGATTTGCTGCTCAAGAAATGTTATTTTTATCAATGTTGAAAACAGTTGTGCTGCTTTATGTTTAAAAGAAGCTGTGATATATTTTTTCAGAATTCTTTGAGGAATAGAAAGTTCAAAAGAACAGCATTTATTTGAAATAGAAATTGTTTGTAAGATTATAAAAGTCTTTACTGTCACTTTTCATCAATTTAATGCATCCTTGCTGAATAAAAGTAATAATTTCTTAAAAAAAACATTACTGACCCGAAACAGTACTATTACTCGAAAAGTAGTGTACGTCAGTGATAAAATGCCGTCTTGTGTTTGCAGCTCTTGAATTGCTATTTGGAGGCATATCAGCATGTCACAGATCCAGATGAATGGTTCAGGTTGGCTCAGGTCATCACAGACATCATGCACAGAAGGCCACAGATGGATTTTACTGCTGGATATTTTGTTCAAGCTTACAGGGACACGATTGTCTGCCTCCAAAGCCACCAACAGCTCATCAAACTAGTGCTGAACAATCAGGCAACCGAGCATTTGTTCTTTAATCATGTTTAACTCACCTGAGCTTTCATATTATTTTATTCTCTGATGTTTTCTGAACATTAGATTGATGAGCAGAGACAATATCTGGAGAGAATATGGAGGGAGGGACAGAATGGTTGTCCTAGTGAATACGGCCTGCCACCAAAATACATCCCTAGACATCTGGTATCAGTCGGTGGAAGCAGGTAAATATCACAATAATAAACCTTAAATGCAACATCAAATTAAATTCAAATTCACCCTGTTTAATTAGCACACAATACATGTCATTCCTGTAACAACTATAGTGAAGCATGGTGTTAGCAAAGCCAAAGTCATGTGTTCAAATTAAAAAAAAAATTACTTCATTACTCTAGTCATCCGTGTCACATGATCCTTAAGAAATCATTCTAATATGCTGATTTGCTGCTTTATTATTATCAATTATTATTGCTACTCAATTATTAATAACGGTTCTTATTATTATCAGCGTGAAAACCGTTTTTGGGGCTTAATATTTTTTGTGGAAATTAAGAATTTTTAGGCTTTCGTTTTCTTTTCTATTTTTCTAGGTTTCCTTAATGAATAAAAAAAGTTCAAAAGAACAGGTTTATTTGAGATACAAATCTTTTGTGAAGTTATGAATGGCTTTACTGCTACTTTTGATCAATTTAATGCGTCCTTCCTGAATAATATTATTAATTACTTACCCCAAACTTTTGAATGGTAGAATGGTGGTGATAATATTAAAAATCAGCATATTAGAATGATTTCTGAAGGATCATGTGACACTGAAGACTGGATTTGCTGCTTTATTATTATCAATTATTATTGCTACTCAATTATTAATAACGGTTCTTATTATTATCAGCGTGAAAACCGTTTTTGGGGCTTAATATTTTTTGTGGAAATTAAGAATTTTTAGGCTTTCGTTTTCTTTTCTATTTTTCTAGGTTTCCTTAATGAATAAAAAAAGTTCAAAAGAACAGGTTTATTTGAGATACAAATCTTTTGTGAAGTTATGAATGGCTTTACTGCTACTTTTGATCAATTTAATGCGTCCTTCCTGAATAATATTATTAATTACTTACCCCAAACTTTTGAATGGTAGAATGGTGGTGATAATATTAAAAATCAGCATATTAGAATGATTTCTGAAGGATCATGTGACACTGAAGACTGGAGTAATGATGCTGAAAATTCAGCTTTGCATCACAGGAAAAAAATGCATTTTACAATATATTCAAATTGAAAGCAGTTATTTTAAATGGTAATAATATTTCACAATATTACTGTATGTTTCATCAAATGAGACTTCTTCCAAAATTAAAAAAAATATATTAATCTTTACAAACTTTTGACCAGTAGTGTGTATTTGCCTCCTTGTACTTTCATTGCAGGCCTGCTTTGAAGAGTGTGTATTTTTTAGAGATTCACCCCTCATTGTGTTTGGCGTCGCGGCTGTACGAGGGTCTTGAACGGGCCTGTGCTGAGCAGTGTGAGCTGCACAGATCGAAAACACCGTCTCAAAGAGTCAAACTGGAGCAAAGTCTCTTGAAAATGGCCTTGCGACATTGGCACTTGCTTGCCGCTCCTGGCGCAACCTACAGTTCTCAGATCCAGAGAGATGTATGTGTCTTTTTTTTGTTGCTCCAAATAAGCTCAAAGTCCACTGTCAAATGTTTAGAGGAGAAATAAAATGGAAAAGAAAAGCCTCTTTTATTTTCTTTCCTTTTGAGAATTGCATTGTCACTTCACAGAATGATAAAGTTAAAATAGATATGCAAAAAATCATTAAGAGTGTTCTGTATTGTTTTAGTTGTTCTCCGAAGGGTTCATCGAAGACCCTGTCCTGGTAAGAGAGCTGGGACTGTCTGTTGTGAGATCTGCAGAGGAACAGGAGAGGAAGCAAGGCAAAGACAGACAGCTGTTCATGCTGAAGACGTTCTGCACATTGCTAGAGCTCGTCACGCTCCGTCATCGCATCACTGAATCAGCAGCAGAGACCCAACACCTGTCCCAGTTGAGTTTCCGCTGAGCAGTTCAAATTTTCCTTGATTTTTGAAAATTAAAAACAGAATTCATTATACTATAAATGCAGAATTCAAAACTTCCAATCCAGTTCCAGTTATTCAGTTCATTCTATTATTTCCACAATGCAGGATGGGGCAGAAATAGCTTGAAGCCCATTTGACAGACATGACAGCATGCAAATAGACTGTTTCATTTTTCAAGTCAGAAAGAGTGGAAAATAATCATGAAAAATTAAATGATGACTGATTTTTGAGTTTTTGGGGAAAAAAAGATATTAGTGAAAAGAACTATAGGCATATATATGCCTTTAATTTGTTCATTTAAATAGTAAATAAAAAAATATTATTGTATAAAAAGTAAATCATTGTGCTGTATTATAATTCCGCTTTGGTGAACAAAATAACATTAGTGGATCTCAGATGAGAAAAAATTAATACTATGGCCTATTGCAGTTTGCCATTGTTTATATATATTAAAAAGTTATATATGTAACAGGCAGGGTCAAACACCAGCAAACAGGTACAATCCAGGGCGAGACAAAAGAGCAATCCAATAAACAGTCCAAGGTCAAAAAACAACAAGGCAAGGCAAGGAAACACAGAGACTCGGAACAGGGTACAGGCTAAACAATAATCAGCAATGTGTGTGTGGATGAGTGCAACCTTTATAGTGTCACTGCTAGGAAACATGTGTGGTGCAATAATGAGTTCCTAGGCAGGGGTTTATGGGGAATGGAGTCCGGAGAGAACCAAGACAAAACCCCTTATTGTGACGCTGCAATATAACAAAGAGTGAAAAATTTAAGGGGGTCTGAATACTTTCCGTACCCACTGTATATAATGATACATGATTAAATGTAAATATAATGTAATACATACAGTATATGCACACATATATGTGCTGCCTTTACTTTTGTACATTTAAATAAACATAAACATAAATAACAAAATAAACAATAAAAACATTAATAAACCTCAGTTGGGAAAAAAGATTTTAAAATATTCATTATTCATTCAATTTACTCTTAGGTCTTTCCTTAAAATGACGACTGAAGAAGCAGCTGAAGTCATCAGACTCTCACCTGCATGTCTTGTGCTTTCTGTCATGTCGCTCTAGATTGTATAAATCAGTGGCCAGACTGATGGGCTTTGATGAAGTTCATTTGTACCTGCGGCCGGTGCAGTTTGAGTTTGCTGTGCGGAAAGAGATTCCAAAACAACTTCCTGTGTTCATCACGGCCCTCCAGGACGACAAACAGAATGCTGACAGGTAAAAGTCTGCAGAACTGATATCGACCTCAAGACACTATCAGCATCTGTTGAAAACAATCATTTGAATGCAGTGTAGTGTGTATGAGGTATGTAGTGCCTAAATACTGTAATTAATGTTTTTTAAGGTTAGCATATCTATTACTATTGCTCACGGTTATTACACAAGTATTAAATGTATTAATTGTGTAAAAATCTCACTTCCTGTTTTATAGGTTTGTCCCAAACAGTCTACCTCTCGCTGTTCAGGAGCTTGATGAGAGTCATATTGGCAAATTTAACTTTCAATCTAACGAAGCAGTTTTACAGGTAATCACATGATGATTTTTAATTATTATGCACATTTTGGCACATTATTTTTGTTCAGTATATTAATCATTTGACCTTGTGTCTCTGTCTTCCAGCTCATGAATCAGTCCAGCCTGGAGAACCTGCAGGTGGTTCTGGTGTGTCAAGTGGTGCAGAAGAACGCTCTGATTGGTGCACTTAAACAAGCGTCCTTATGCTATAGGACAGAGAAGCTGGTTCAGTCTTCAGATACAGACCTGCTGCTGCAGCACGGAGGAACTACTTCCTCGGAAACCAGGAAACATGCTTTAGCTACTAGAAACAGGTCTGCACAAAACTGATCCGGAACATGTCTAGATCATATTTCACCACAAGTGTATTTTGCATAAAGAAAATGAAAATTAAAAAAGAAAACATTATTTTCATGACAGCATATTTTCAAAAAATACAGAAAAAAATATAGTTTATGCTTAAAGCATCATGAAACCCCCTGTTTCAGCAATGGTTAGTTCTCACCACAGTTTTAAAGGTGACATATCGTGAAAATCTGACTTTTCCCGGTTTTAAGTGCTATAATCAGGTCCCCGGTGCATCTACCAACCAAGGAAACGTGAAAAAGATTAACCCAGTAACTTTGTTTTAGTAAGCCTTTTTCTGCAAACGTCGAAAAAACGCTTGCATGTCTTGCATTCTGGATTCATAGAGCATGTCTGATTTCGCTCCCTTGGTGACGTGGTAAAGGGATCTCATTATAATATTACCACCCCTTAATCTGTAAATGTAATACACCCACAGCGCCGTCATTGTGTTTTCGCAAGCGACAACGGTGTACCAGCTCTAATGCCATGGCGAAAGTTTGAGCAAAACACGCTAACTGTTACACAGACGAGCATAGAACACTATTTACAGTCCCAGCCTCAGAGGAGACAACAGAGCAGTGGATTTATTGATTTATTTACTGTATATTGCTGCTGCCACACAGATCTAAAATAAACATGCAATATATTTCCAAGCAGTTTACCTTCACAGACATAACCCACTGTTTTTGTAACTCGGGGCATAATATGTCTCCTTTAAAAAAATGCTAAAAAAGTGGGCGTGGTGCGGAGCAGAGGGGGAAGAGAGGAGACAGACAACACACACAACTTTGCGTTCAGACAGTTTCATTTAACTCCCATCGTGTTAAAAACACAAATAAATGCACAGCCATTTGCACTCCACATTGAAAACATATATATGAACGCGCGGTTGTATAACTTTTTAGGCTTATTCTGCTGCGTTTATATAAGCATTTTGACGGGTTGTGTCACAGAGCTGTAAAAACGGTTATGCTCACCAAGTGAATGAATCGCGTTTGTGCCAAACTCTTATTACAAAGCAAAAACAAACGCTCTCCTCCAATCCATGAACGTTTCTCTCAGTTCATGTACGCAGTCTCACAGTCTGAAACCGTCTGTCAATACAAATCAACACATGCTGTTGTGAATAATTGAGCGAAGGGTTTTCTCATAGGATAATAAAACGCAGTCTCATAAATAATTTAATAGACGCCGGCGCATCATCGATCCACTATATTCCATTGCCACGTCACAAATTGTGGCGTCAACACGATGGGTTGTGTCACAGAGCTGTAAAAACGGTTATGCTCACCAAGTGAATGAATCGCGTTTGTGCCAAACTCTTATTACAAAGCAAAAACAAACGCTCTCCTCCAATCCATGAACGTTTCTCTCAGTTCATGTACGCAGTCTCACAGTCTGAAACCGTCTGTCAATACAAATCAACACATGCTGTTGTGAATAATTGAGCGAAGGGTCTTCTCATAGGATAATAAAACGCAGTCTCATAAATAATTTAATAGACACCGACACATCATCGATGCACTATATTCCATTGCCACGTCACAAATTGTGACGTCAACACGATGTACATTTTAAACCCGGAAGTTGAAAATAGTGCAAAAAAGCTTAAAATTAACCAGTTTTCTCAAATAGTTAAAAGTATCGAATGCTAACATTGACTTCTATAATGTGCAACACAAACACCTCTGCTAAAATCTCAGAAAAAGTAGTCTGGGGTTTCATCTTTAAACAAAGAAAAAATGTCTGTCAGTAGGGTGAGAGAAACTTAATTTAGAGGTAAAACAAGTTTTTTATTATTTAAAAAATGCAGAAAAATATTTAGATTTGAAATACTTTAGTGTATTGCATTATGCTAGTATTTGTTTCTCTGCCTTTAATTTGTTAATTTAAAAAAAAGTTGTATTCTATCACTTTCTTACAGCTCTTAATCGCAATTCTTTGTGTAATTCACCAATATGTGAAGTAATCTGGATATAAAGTTTTCCAAAATGGACATTAAGACATGTTTTATCTGAGTATAGAATGACTGTGTGAAATGATTTTGTAATCCAGGATTGCAGGTGCTTTTGTGTCCGTTCAGCTGGAGAAAGTGTGTCTTCGCGATGAAATGCTGAACACGTTTATAAAGAAGAAAGAACAGATGAGTGCGCTGAAGTTAAACTCTGTATGTGTTCAGGATTATATTTGCAAAATAAATGGAAATGTACCTCAGTTTTCATCCATCCATCCTTCTCTCAATAGGAAGAAGTGGGCAGGATCAAGAGGAAACTGATTTTGGAGTTCTGTCACAAGTATGTTTAATCAGTAAACAGTGTTTCCCTCTCTTTATTTTCTATAAAATGAGGAAATGACCCTAAATTTTATATTAGGGTGTTCTCTGCAGCAGCAATGATTATGTGTCTCTTTCAGATTTAACGAGCGTATGTCACAGTATTGTGTCCGAGGACAGGTTGTTGCTCTTTGCCACAGTCTCTCCTCACTGCTGGATGAGGTGCCGCATATCCGTGACAATTACTTTGTGATGGGAAAACCAAATGAATCAGACCTGCAGTCAGATGACAGATTGTGTCCTGATCCAAGGTGAAGAAAATACATACAGAGTGTTCCTATAACATTTTGTGTCATGTTAATTCTTGTTGGCCAAACATTTGGACACACGGCTGAATTTATCTGCTTAATCACTTAAAAACCTTTAACGGCTATTGATCAAAACAGGATAATTATACTTAACTGAAACTAAAACTATAAAAATATGTTCATTGCCTGTAGTGAAATAATGTTAACTGAAATAAATCTAAATAAATGTGAAATAATTTTATTCTTAGCTAGTTTCCAAGACAACATTTTTCATTTTCATTGATGTACTAAAATAAACAAAACTGAAATAAAAAATTTATAAAAACTAAATAGACATATTATTTAAAATACAAAAACTTATAAAAATGACAAAAGCAAGCAATAAAATTACTCAAACTTTTATTAAAATGAAAATGAAAACAGAAAACAAAAAACTAATGTTGAATGTTAATAAAAACTATAATAGTATAAATGATGCTAAAATAACACTGGAAAGTAACACTCGATAACACTCAAAAGGCTTGTGCTTTAATGCTTGAACAGTTCATTTTGTAGACAAATATAAATTGTTTAAAAATTATTTTTTTAATGCGTGAGTTGGGCTGAATAGTGAATGGTGGGAGTGAAAAATAAAAATTAAATGTTTATATATTATTTTATATTTTATTCATAGTTTCGATGGACGTTATATTATTAAAAATTTGGAAAATAGTTCAAACAATCAACATTTTTAAAACAAACTAATAAATAATAATAATCATAATAATCCGTTTTATTGTAATGCTTAAATTTTATGTTTCATAGTTTTAATTAATTTTGCATTATTAAAAATATGGAAAATAGTCAAAATAAACAACCAAACAAGACTAAATAAATAAATGCATACATACATACAGTACATACATAAATAGACAGACAGCTAGATAGATAGTCAGATAGACCTACATTATTAAATATTTACATTTTATTATATGTTACATAGAAAATAGTCAAAATAAACAAAGAAAGAAAGAAAGAAAGAAAGTAAGTGTCATCAGTTTCCACAGAGTAAATGTATTTCTAAATCATAACTGTTTCTGGCTGTTCAGGACATTTCAGCCTCGTCCCAGAAGGCTGTTATCAGCTGATGGAAAGCGTCTGGTAAACCTGTGGTTCATCCCTCATTACACTGAAGTGCTGCTCATGTTCAGAGCTCTAGAGGAGAAGGTGACTAATAAACATGACACAGTGTACCAGTTCTCATTAAAACACATTTTCCTCATCATTTTTGCTTGACGTGTTTGAGTCAGCTGATTTTAGTGGATTCTTGTTACAGGAATGTCACCAGGCTCTTCAAAACACACTGCAGATTATTTCAGCTCTTCATGACGTCGTATATTATCTGGTGAGCTTTGCTCGGCTGGGGAATCCGAACACTTCCTTCAGTCCCAGCAGCACTCAGAGACTCACAGCAGACTGGGGCGGCTTAGAGAGCATCGGTATATGATAACTCTGGAAACACACATTACCCTGTGTTGTTTTTAGCCGATATTGTGTGTTATCCAGCCCAGCGTTTCCTTATGCTCTGATGTTTGTCCAAAGGGGCTGAACTGTGGGACGTCCAGCGACAGATTGACGCTCTCTGTGAGCCCAGAAGTTCAGAGGCTGTCGGGCGGCTCCTGCAGCTACACAGGGACGTGCTCTTCCTGCGCTTTGATACCGCAGTGCGCTACATGATCAGGTGCTGATAATTTACAGATTTCACAGGATTAGGGCCAGTGACAAATAATGATGTTTGAGATGAGAGGAGAGCGTTTTTGAAAAATCTAGTTTAAAATGCATGCTCCAAAGTAATATTAAAGTAATATTTGTATTCATGCTGGATTCATACAGTTTTGAAAAGCTTTTATTTTAATTTTTATTTTCAATGACTTTCAATGAAGAAATATATTGAAAACACTAGGAAATAATACTTAAGTAATATATAATACAATTTTCCAATTTTCTTAAACGTTGCATAGATGTTAATGTACACATTATTATTATTACTATTATTATTACAAAAAATAAAAGCATTTTAAGCATTTTTAAGGTAAAAATATTTGTAAAAAAAATATAATGAATTTAGTTTGTTTCTCTTTTGTCGGTTTTACCATTCGACCGCCTGAAATACCCTCTTCATAAATATTTTACAAATTTTTTTTTCCTTTATTAACAGTAGTCTCAGTGTTATTTTAGTATCATTGAGATACTATTATAATTTGTATTAATATTTTGAATGTATTTTTATTTTCTGTTTTCATTTTAGTTATTTTATTGTTTGTTTTTCTTTTCATTTTTAATAGTTGTTTAAAATATGTGATATGTAAAATAAATGAAATTAATATATAAAGTAAAATAAAACAAATTTTGTTTTTGTTTTAGTAGATCAAGTTATTAAATGTGTAGTTATTTTGCTTTCGCAAACCTAGGGAGGCAAAATAGTCTAGTGTAGGGTATTCCCGTCACGATGACGTTATGATTTTTGGATCACGTGTCACTTAAGGTGCGGTTATGAGTACATCAGATAAGAACGATTGGTGGGATATCTAAATTGTAGAACCTCTTACTGTATTATCAACATAAGGAAGACACAAGTGTGCAGGAATACGAGATTGCAATTTGCCGCTTCTCCATTTCTGTACTGTGATTGGCTGTTTCCATCACAGCGGGGGGACACGGTGTGGCCCACTCTTCTTTCCTCCTGTGGAATTTATTTGCATAGTCCAAACAAACTTAGAAGTTAGAAAAGTGTCACTAAAGTTTTACCAGTGCATTTCTCACTTTCCAAACCACAACCAGAATACATTTGGCAATGTTACGAATGCATTAAGTCCAAACATGATGGGAAAAGATTGAACTGTCATGCATGCATTCATTTGTCCATTAACAGCTGAGTTTAAGATGTTGCACTACACATCGCTGTCACTGAGAATACTTATTTCTCTGAATAAGTGTAAGATAGGTGTGTTGTAGTTTGCATCAGTTTAAGGTTTGAAAACACAGTTATGAATGGATTTGGTTGGATCTCTGTGATCTCTCTTTATTTCACCCACTGCTGCTGCATCCTGGAGGTCCTAAGGAATTTTTATGGCGGTCACAGGCCAAAACTCATTCACACAGGGCGTCGGCGTCAAGGCCTCTCGTTTACTTTGAATGGAGTGACGTCAAGCGTTGGCGAAATGAATTGTGGGTCCGTCGCGTCGAGTTGGGTCCGTTGCTTGTGGCAGAAGTTGAAAACTATTCAACTTTTCAAGCACCAACGTAGGCGTCAGCCAATCAGATTGCCATATGCAAATACCCTTGCGCAATAAATATATTAAATATATTAAATAAATAAAATTGTAATCGGCTTTATATCGGCCACCCTGCTTTCCAAGATATCGGCATCAACTGTCAAAAAAACAATATCGGTCTACCACTAATTTTGACCAATGAGAAGTCCTGTCCTTCCCAGGCTTGGTACCAGAGATCTGTCTTCTTGCCCTCTAAGAGGTGTCTGGCTGCTGTCCTAGTGTCTATATCTAATGGCGTTGGACAGTTTGCTTTTGTTAGTCCACCAAGATCCAATCAAAATGCAGAAAACCTTTGTCCAATATTGTGGCCAGAGAGGGGCCCCGCCATTTACTGGGCCCTGGAATTTGCTGTTCACTACAAATGAATATGAGATATGTTGCTTTGGCAACTAGCTGAAAAAATAATTATACGTTTTTTTTAACATTTATTTCATTTCAAGTAACAAGAATTTTTTTTTTTAACGGTTTTAGTTTTAGATAACTATAATAATCCTGGATATTTTTAAAGGGATACTCCACCCTAAAATGAAAATTTTGTCATTAATTACTTACCCCCATGTCGTTCCAAACCCGTGTTGGGGGTAAGTGATTAATGACAACATTTTCATTTTGGGGTGGAGTATCCCTTTAAGTAAATGTCTGTAAATGACCCATTTTCATTGACGCATATTCACATTGTTTTAAAACATGGCATTTCCATTTTTGTTTCACCACAAGGGAGGCGTTCCTCTCCTCTGGAAACCTCTCGGCCTATCAGAGTGTGAGTGAAAACATGAGCCACGCCCTCCCAATCATGAATGACAGCATGATGGGGGGAGCCAATTTCCTCTCTGTTCCTGAACCGCTAGAACCAGCCTGCCTTCAGGTGAGGAACCACCAGGCCTGTCCAGCATACATGTTCTTCCTTCACTAGTGTTTAGTGTTTTATTTGTGGTTTCAGGCCCAAAAATGGTATCCATGGCGATCTTTCATTGCAATCCATGGATCGCATCCTTTGAGTATATGGGATGTTTCACCGATTGAGCATTACATGCAGGTGTGTTACTTTATAAATACATTTTTTAGTCTTCCTCTGCTTCATTTGGGATCAGGGTCATGTAATCTTGTGTTTTTGTAGCTCTGCCTCTGTGATCTGAATGACCGCTGTAGAATGGAGGCTAATGGGGCGATTCTGGGCGTATCCCTGATCATTGATGATGTGCTGAGTAGTGGAAGAGATGCAGCGCCGCTCCAGCTACAGACCACAGGAGACCCCGACATCACCACAACATCTGATAGAGAAGTCATTCAGAATTTAAGATTGTCTCCCATTTGGTTCATAAGTTGGAAAGCTGATTTAAGTACAAAAGTCGAGTTCTGGAAGTAAAATCTCCATTGGGGAGTCTTTAAAGACAGACCTGTTTTGCTCTCAGAGGTTGTTGATTGACTATATATGCTTTTGTTGAAGCCGACTGTTCACATTATTTCGACTTATTTTTAAAATAATCATTTAGCAGTGGAATTTGTGGTGTAAAAACTACATTTCCCATGATGCTGTGCAAAAAATTTCAGCAGAGTCATGGCTAGCATTTTTTTTTTGCGATAAACTGAAAATATATTGTTTATACAGATATAATCAATAACTCTAAACAAATAGTTTATATTTCACTATCATATTAAATTTTGATTATATCTTTCGCAATACTTCATGGGATTGTAGTTAAAATTAAAGCTGTTAAGTAGCTAGTCTTGTACCTTTTTCTTTTTGTCGATTCTAAAATACTTTTTTGCTTCAAATCAAAGTGTGTAATGTTGTGATTCACCTCATAGCTGGTTGGTTTGGTTCATGGCTTTTAACTCATTGACAAATACTTTTTTTTTAAAATCCCTATGGGAAAAATGAATGGAACCAAAGCCACTAAAAAGTGGGAACGCATTTAATTAGCCCAAACACCACAAGTAGCAAAAGTTGGAATGGCAAGATGAGAAATTTACTGAATTGTAATTCAAAGAAATGTTAAATTTTGTGACAAAATAATCTTGATCTTGAGGTGTTTGTTCTGCGTTTCTGTAACTTGAGAGTGTAGATTCATAGTGTGTTCATACATCTTTGTTTGTTGAAGCACATTTATCTCATTGTCATCGTTCAGGTTCTTAATGATAACATGGGAAATGAGGAGAGAAAAACGGAGGTTGCGTCTAAAACTCAGGACCCCATAGAGTCCCTGATGAAGCAGCGGGGATTTTTACTGCTCTGGAAGCAGATGGAAGCTCTTAAAGAGAGCTGGACTCAACGACAGACGGGTGTTGAGAAAATAAACACCACTGCACAGTTTAGACACTTGTCTCAGCTTTACAGGTCATGAACATGTCATCACTATTAAACACTCACTCTTTCATAAAGGTTTATGGTGAAACAAATACGCATGTGATCTTGTGTTGCAGGGTTGATCTGACCTGTGATCTTGTGTTGCAGGGTGGAGATTTACTTTCCCAGCATGCAAGCTCTGGCCCAGCAGATGGATAAGGAGAAGGAATATGAGATTTTGCTGTCTCAGACTCAGTCTGTCCTTCCACCACCTGGAGCAGCAGAAGCTGATGTCAAAATGTGGCAGGTAGTGCATGTGAAACAGGCCTGTTATGGTTAGCTAACAGTAAAACTATGAAAACATTTTTCATTTAAAATAAAACTAAAAGAAAATAAAATGTAAATGAAAAGCTTAAACTAAACAAAAATGGAAATATTGCCTTGGCAAATAAACCTAACTAAAATGACTAAATGGGAATAACTGAAATAAAACAAAAAATTAAATAAAAATATATTGAACCTAAATAGAAATATTTAAAAAACTAATAAAAATGACAAAGCACAAAAAATAATAAAATAAAAATGAAAATTTAAAAATAAAAGCTATTTCAAAATATTAATAAAAATTAAATTAGTAACAATCAAAGCAAAATTACATGAAATCTGAAAGCATAAAAATGAGCTCATTCAAAATATTAACAAAAACTATAATGGCATTTAAATTATGAATTATGATAGTATATGAAGTTTAAGTTGAAGCACTAAAAATACTAACTGGAAATAAATAAAAACTAAAACTGAATTAAACCTAAAACTGAAATAAAAATTAAACCTAAATACTAATATTTAAAAAGAAAAAAAACAACTAATACAGATGATAGAACCACAGAACAAAATTACAAAAAAATGAAAGTAAAATTAAAATGAATATAAATTTGTGTTTATTAAATATTAATAAAAACTATAATATCATATGAATTATAAATTATAAGTGTATATGAAGTTTAAGTTGAAACACAAAAAGTAATAACACGAAATACATAAAAACTAAAACTTAAATAAAAAAATAAAGTAACTTAAATAGTTAATTTACTAAAATACTAATACTAAAATTAAAATGAAAACGGTATAAAATATTAAATTAAATCTAAAGCATCTAATAAATGATTAAATGTAATTCAAAATATAATATAATATAAATAAAAACTATAATAGTATACTAAAATAACACTTATGTTCACCTGCTCTTTATTTTGAAACACTGGGGTCTGTAAAGCAAAGATTTGAACAGTCAAGTCAGTATGCTCTATGACTATGAAACAAAATAAGTGATTCAGATTTGGGGAATATTCATTATAAATGTTCAGGTCTGCAGCCATGATGCTTTCTTAAAAGTAAGAAATAATAAATCCTAAATTGTGAGGTCGCATTTTGGCAGTTCATTAGTAAGATTCTTTGGATTGATGTCTTTGGCATAGTCCATTTCAGACTGATGTTTTTGCCTGTTTGTTGTAGTTACTGAGACTCTTGGAGATCACGGAGTGTGACATGATCCGAGCGCTTCAGAAGAGGATTAACAGTGAAATGACTTTAGTGATGTCGGAGCGCTCACGGCATGATGCGCGGCTCCCCGCAGGTACCCAGCATCAAAGAGCACGACGGGAGGATGGCGCTGAGCCTGATTCTCTCTGAAAGCCAATAAACTTCCCCACACCTAGTCTCATATATTTAGGATATTATAACATTTTTGTCCTCTCTGAAATGCATTGGTCTTCTTCTGCTGTCTTCACATGTCAATAAGAACTGTGGAAACGGCCTTCGATGAAGCACAGTGTCTCTCTAGAGAGACCACAGATTGTGGAGGATTTCATCCAGCGGTTGGTGAAAGGTGTTGAGCGTGAGATTGATGGACAGGTAAATATTTCTTGCTACACTTCTAAAAATAAAGGTCCCTGAAGGGACAGTACCACCTTTCAGTGTACAGCTCTTAAAAAAACTTTTTTTTTCCGTAGTGCAAAGAACATTTTAATATTCTACAGAACCTTTTTCCACTATAAAGAACCTGGAAAGGTTCCATGGATGTTAAAGGTTGTTCATGGAACCTTCAATGCCAATAAAGAACCTTTATTTGAAAGAGTATATGGTTACGATAGCATTTTTCAATGTCATGATAAAGATGCCATGTAATGGACTGATATATAAACAATGAGTGTTTTCCAGGTGACGTTCTCCAGCGCTCATCTGCAGGAGTGCTTGACTGAACTCACTTGTGCTGTCATGAATCGCGAGCGGAGTGTCTCCCAGCGATATTCCCAGTTTTACGAGCACATCCTTCAACAGCAGGAACAACTTCTTTACCAGAGAGAGCAGGTACATCTACACTATTTATTGTTTTGTGTCTCTTTTGCTCACCAAGGCTGCATTTATTTGATTAAAAATACAGTAAAAACGGTAATATTGTGAAATATTATTGCAGTTTAAAATAACTGTTCTCTATTTTAATATCTCTTAAAATGTAATATATTTCTGAGATACTGAAGCTGAATTTTCAGCATCATTACTCCAGTCTTCAGTGTCACATGATCCTTCAGAAATCATTCTAATATGCTGTTTTGCTGCTCAAGAAACATTTCTGATTATTAACAATGTCCTTGGATCCTTGCTGAATAAAAGTATTAATTTAAAATAAATAAATAAATAACACAGCAACTGTTAGTGAAGTGATAGATTCAGCAGAGTTGCAGCAAGATGTATGCATATTTCTCACCTGTGAACATCTGTATCCACAGGATGTTAAAGAGCTAGAAGCCAAAGAAATGCAGGCTAGTGACCCCTACAGAAAGGTAAACTCGGGTTTGTGCGTATATCACCATGATTCTTCAGTACTGCTCAGTAAACACATCTAATCTCAGGTGGCGGATGTGTGTCGTGGGATGATGGTTGACATCACGGCTCTGCGTGCCAGAGTAAGTCAACTTGAGGAGGAGAAGAGAAGCTTAGATCAACATCTCAACCTCAAACACAGAGAGCGCTATGACACGCTGGTTCGCCAGCTCTTCTCCACATGCGTTCTTCTGAAGGTGTGTAAGCTTTCGGTTTTGATATATGGACTATGATTTCATAAAATCATTAAAACATGAACTAAGTATATGTAGCGTGATGTCAGCTGGCTCAGCTCTCTGTGCCGCCCACAGTCACGTCTGGACAAATACCATGTGAATATGGACCATGATGTGCGACAGCTGGTGAGCAGCGTGAGGAAGGAAGGCGTGGACAGAATCATCAAACTGAAAAATAAATTATCCTCCGCTAATGATAACGAGACCCTCATTCACACACTTCATGAGGTGAACCGCTAGAATGAGCTTTGTTATAAGGGAATAGCCGAAATCTAAATGTATATTGTTTAAATCTAACAAATAATAAAAAAAAAAAAATTATTTATATATATATAAATAAAACATTAATTAATAAATTAATTAACTAAAATAAAATGAATATAGTTAATATATATTAATTATATATGATAAAATATGTAATTAATACAATTTTATATATATATATATATATATATATATATGTGTGTGTGTGTGTGTGTGTGTGTGTGTGTGTGTGTGTGTGTGTATCTTAGCTAATTTTATTAATTACATGTTTTATCATGTAATTTTGTGATCATTTACTCACTCAAGTCACATTACAATAAATCTAAATACTCTTTTTATATATTTTATATATATACAGTATATATATATATATATATATATATTGTATATTAGCACATTTCCCAAATCTTTAATACAGTAATGAAAATAATCCTGTAGAAATAAGGACTATTTTAGGACCATGTAGATTTTCAGTGACCTAATGTAAAAATTTCTTCTTATCACTAATCTAATGTGAAAAAATATTACTTTAAATAAAGAGCAGTTGGAAGTAAAGTGGTGTATGTTGTTAAAATTGAATTAAATTTAAAATGTAATAATTATATGATTTATAAATTAGATTTACAGTACAATCATGTAAATTCTGGGGGTAATGTGTTAAATGATCATGAACAATGTAGTATTGCAGAAAATCTTAATGATTTGTTTTTTATGCAAAATGTATTGACCAATTTTTTTTCTGTTATTTGGGGTGAAATGTGACCTGGGCTTTTCTTTGTGACATTCAACCTTTTATCTCTTTGTTTTATTCAGAAAGAAGTATTAGAAGATCTTCATGCGGAGAATAGTAAGCTGGCTGGACTTGTGTGTAAACTGAGAGCCTTTAACCACTGGAGGCTGGTGATCGCTCAAGAGAAACTACAAAAAGAGCTGCTGCAGTGGAAACTGGTATTAATCACTTGTGTTTAATAATACCAGGCTTCGGCTAGCCTCTCCTCCTCTTCTTTTGCCCTTTATTAACTCTGAATGTTGCTCCTGTGTGTCCAGAATGAGGTGTCGTGTAAAACTGAAGCTCTTAAAGTGAAGATGATCTCGGAGCAGAAGGAGATTGGTCTAAAACAAGAGCTCGATGCTGTGCAGGAGGCCATGCTGCAGTGTAAGAGCGAATATGAGCATATCCAGAGACAGATCATTCAGCAGGTACAACACTCTCAGCCTTCTCATCTTTATATCCATAATTGGGCTTTGCTGTGTGCAAATTGAGCCATCATAAAGACAGGAAGTACCTGAAATACAGTACACTGCTTCCAGACTGAATCTTATGATCTTAGTCCAGGGGTGTAAAAAGTATTGAAAATTTGTACTTAAGTTAAAATGCAGATACTCTATAAAAAAAATTTGAAAGTGAAAGTAAGACGGTATTCACATTTAATTGTACTTTAAAATTTTAAATTGTGCTTTTTAATGTGACTCTTGAAAACAAGAGGCAGTAGAGATGAAAAAACTGTCAAAAAAAAAGAAACCTGTCAAAAAATCATTGTTTTCTCACTGTTGTGACTGTGTAAAACTCTAGGACACTGCAGACGTTAAAGTGAACCAGTATACTGAAACCTGTTACCTTTCAGCTAAAATATTTAGCTGATGGTTTTGCAATGACATTTTTTGGAATATAGTGATTTTTAGACTAAGCAGCAAGACTAATCATGAACCATGTTCACAATCCTTAAGTTCATCCATCTGCAGCTATGGTTATTATAAAAAACTGTAAGGAATAGTTCACCCCAAAATGAATATTTTGTCATCATTTACTCACTCTTGTCACATTAGAATAAATAAAAATACTATTTTTATTTTTAAATACTATATATAATAAAGAAATGACATGTACATAAAAATATAGTTAACCAAGTTTAAACTAAAACCATAAAAAGCATTTTGTTACTTGAAATAAATGTTAACTGAAACAAAATAAAATATAAAAACATACTTATTTTATTTCAGCTAGTTGCCAAGGCATCAGTTACCATTTTAATTTAGTTTAACTTTATGCACTAAAAAAATGAAACTAACACTGAAATAAAATTTAAAACTGTATAGACATATTAAAAAAACAACTAAAACTAATAAAAAATTACAAAAACAAACAACAAAATTACTAAAACTTTAAATGTAAAATGAAAACAGAAAATATAAAAATAAAAACTAAAACGAATTAAAATATTAATAAAATCCATAATAGAATCTCACTGATACCAAAATAACACTGATTGTAATGGACTAAAACTTATTATTTTTACCTTGTAAATGTAAAAGTACAAGTATTCAGTTATAACAGAATTCAAATAAAGTACAGATCCCCCAACATAATACTTTAGAATAGTAGTCAAATACACTTTACACCTCAGTCTCAGAAGCTGCAGGACATGGAGCATCGCTCCACACGAGACACACAGAGCCGACAGGAGCTGGAGGTGCTGCGCATGCAGAGTCTGGAGCAGCTGCAGGAAGACATGGAGGACAGACAGAGTCAACTCAGGGCTCTGAGCGCACAGCTCGAGAAAAACAGCAAAGAGACAGAGCTACGGCAACAACGCAGCCACAAGCAAATCAAACACGTGAGTCTGAACTGCAGGCTTTATGATGATTATTATAAATGTTAAAGGGGTCATATGATGCGATTTCAATTTTTCCTTTCTCTTTGGACTGTTACAAGCTCTTGGTGCATAAAGAAGATCTGTAAAGTTGCAAAGACTAAAGTCTCAAATCCAAAGAGATATTCTTTATAAAAGTTAAGAGTCAACCACGCCTACCTAAAACAGCTCGTTCTAACACGCCCCCACATGTCTACGTCACTATGTGGGAAGATTTGCATAACGCCGCCCAATTGTTCACACAAAGAAAGAAGGCGTTTTTAATTCTCTTTTATTCTCTATTTTTTAATTAACTTTTATTCTCGCTGTAGTATTGTTGTTGCCGCTGCCGCCATGTCGTGAAGGTGCTGTGTGCTTCGTTGTAAAAGCGAAACTACTTTGTTTGGTCTTCCAAAAGAGGACGATATCTGCTTCGTCATGCCTAGATGTATTTACAACACTGTTCCAGAACAGTTCAACCCAAATATTCAGATGTGTGCAGCACATTTTATGGAGGACTGTTTCCTGAACCTGGGAGAGTAGACTA